GAAAATGAGTTTCAGAAGAAAAGCAAATCTTAAAACGATAGAAAATAATATTTGCCAGGGACAACAAAAAGAAAAGGAGTGCTTGCTTCCCGAGGGATCTTCTGGCTCTTTTCTTCAAGAAAATACAGTTCAAATGCAAGGTTGTGACTCAAACCAGGTAAAGCAGGTCACGAAAATAAAATTTTCCTTTTTACCCTTTCTTTGGTTTTCGAAACTGAAGCCTTTAATCCGACGCCCTTCTTCAAAAAAAAGGAGGAAAAGAAGGCGGTGTTGCATATGCATTTGACTGGACAACGACACCACTTGATCATGAAAGCAACAAAACTATATATATAAAAAATGGCGATAACACTTGTCGGAAAATATTGTGCATCAGATACAGTGTTTAGAAGCTTATGGTCGATCCCAGTCCAGTCAGTGGATATTGAGCAAGCTCAAGTTCAATGCAGCAGTAAAAATTTGACTCAAAATGTGATGAATCAGATACGGATGTCTAATTCGTCACACAATTTCGTGGTTAGAAACTCATATACACTAGTAGTAACCTCATGTCCATGTCAAGCAGCAAACAATACTTCGAAGTGGATCGGCATATTGATCATGTGCATAGCACCCACTACGGGAGGATTTAATCCTTGTAGAAGATAGGGAAGAATAGAAAGCAAGAATGATTTAACCATTCTGCTTTATCAGGAGGATATAAAGCAAAGAATCAGCACATTAACAACCCATTCAAGTTGGGGTTTTGTTGCTTGGACCATTACTAATCACCATTGTTAAACCACCAATATAAATATTCACGTAATAAAGTACAAGAACATATGCTTTAGAATGTTCCTAGTCGCATGTGGTTTATATCATAACAACAGCAACAATAACAGAAAAGTAAAAGGGAATAAAGGAAAAGATGGTCTTCATAAACAAACGAGAAAAATTTACAGCTTAATCCACAGAGAGAAAGGGAGGAAGGAGGGTTGAAGTGGGTCTTCACTGGATCATTGAATGGGAGATTAAGAACTTAGCAACCCAAAGAAAGGCATAAAGAAACACATATAGCGCAAGAAACCAAGTGCTGTTGTTTTTGTTGCATAGGGAAGAGAGCTTGGAATTCTAAAGTGAGGAAGAGATCTTAGAATGGCATAAAGCAAGAGCTTGTTTCTTTTGGGGGCTGTTCTATTCCTCATTCTTTCTCCCTCGTATTTGATTCTTTATATGACTTGCAACTGTAGCAATCTACTAGTTCTAGGTGGCCTCATCGCTTATGTCTGCCCAGTCACTCTTGCTTAAAAAACAGAACTCCCCTTTTCTTAATACCAAAGTAACGATAATTTCCTAAAATACCCACCACATAAAAGATGATCCTCATACCATAAGAAAATATTTACCACTTAACTGCGACAGAAAACCTGTTATTCGTAGAAAGCTTGCCTCAAATTATGAGCTGAGCTGAGCCTAGCCTAGCTGGAAAGACCATCGGCTAAGAATGAATATCAGCCCCCAGTGCATGTCCAGATAAGCATGGTCGGGTGATGTGGCAAGACATTTAAAGAGTTCGAGAGAGTGGTAGGCCTGTTTCAATGGACGAAAAGCAAAACAAATGATAGGGATGTAGGGGAACAAATGAAAAAAGATACTTGGCTTCTCAAGGGTATTGTTCCAACCCCTTTATTCATCATTGTCAGATTCTTCCATAACAGCCTTAATATGTTTAGAATGCAGGCTTATGATTTGGGTGAATCAAAAATCCCACCGGGTGTTCTGGGGCCCCTCCCTGCTTTTTCGCTTTAAAGCGCCCTCCAAATCCAATAAGGGATAAATAACAGGCATATATCCACAGGAATGGAGCATCACAATAGAAGGCTCACATTCTCAGACCTGTTTATCATCTCATTACTCTAAACAGAAACAACACACCTCTGCCTTTCTTGTTTGTTTCAGAGCAGAAACAATGGTTTTTTGTTCTCGTAGAGTGCTTATCCTTCTTATATGTGTTGGCTTCATAGCAGTTCAACCTCATAAACTTTATGGCTTGACGAGTGTAGAGGTGATCCTCAGACACGACCAAAAAGATCACGGGACACTGCCTCACGGCCAACGTAGCCTCAAGGACGTCGACATGCAGGGGATGGACTCAAAGAAATCAGCCCAAGCAAACAAGACATTTGATCCAAGTCAAACAAGCAAAAGAAGTGTACGAAGAGGATCAGATCCTATTCACAACAGGTCTTGATATATTTGAGTTGTTTCTTCAAACAGAGGCAGGAAGAGCAAGTAAAGGTGACATCTAAAGAAGAAGAATAGCTTCTAGCAAAGCAGAGAAAACTAGACAGTGGTGAATATTTCTTTTGCAGAACTCTAACGAGGAAGGGTTGATTGGTTTTGCCTTTTATTTTATTTTAAGAGTTTGTCTTTATAGAGAGATGTGTATAGAAAAGCTATTAGAGAAAATGTTCACAGAGCCAGTATCATCTCTGTGCAAATTGAGATCAGAATCAACCTCCAAAGAACACGGCATAGATGATGGTATGGCTCGCAGAAAGGAAAAGGACAGTTTTTTCTCCCCCCCCTCAATCTTTCTTAGAAATTTGCACCTATTTGCTTGGCTATATGCTTCTTTGCAGATTATAGTGATATTCCTTCATTAACAAAGTCTGTTCAAAAGTTTAACATAGAGAGGCAAGATGCTTTGATTGATTCAAACTTAACCCTTGACCATGTCTTAACCCAGAAGATCAACAACTCCACAACAAAGGTAAGCACTAATTAAATAAAGTACTTACTCGGTCATATAGAGACCAGAAGCCTCGCAATTGATTTTATGCATTTTTGTGAAGAAGACGTACAGTTTTTCTTGGTTTTTCATTCAGAAATACTCTGAAACTCCACACCTTATTTAATGTGACATAAAGAGGGCAGGTCTTGTATCTACCTAGAGAAGCTAAGAAGTCATATCGATATTGGCATACAAGATAATCGCTATTATGACCAAGGATGCACTCCCTTTCACAAGGCAGATAATATCTGTGATTCTCTTCATGACCTGATAAAACTAAGAGACGCTTCTCCATTAGATCATCCCAACTATCAGAGACTTAGTAAAATCTCCAATTATCTTTCCCCCTTCAGGTTCAGGGTCGAATATTACACCCATACATTTGGACTTCGCCTAAATATCACTGATGCCGCAGCTTGAATGTACAGGACTATGAGCAGCAAAATATATGTACTCGAATAGAAATTCAGTGTCCTTTACTGCCATAGGACAGGGGTTCGTCATGGCATGATTGGAGCAATTCAAGGAGGATTAGTGGTTTGCATTAGTTGTTCTGACAAAAGCTTTTTTAAATACCAGTTCAAATACTTTGGGTCTCCACCAAAGTAAAATTATTGGTAACATCATTGCTGTTCCTCATTATAAATGACCAGGAACAAGACAATGCATTAACACAAGGAAAGACATCTCTTTAGAATTATTTAAGGAATTTGTTCCGGAGCATATTTACAGAAAGCGACACATTGGGATTGGAGCAGAGAATAAGAAAGATAAGATATTAGAGTAAAAGTTGAGGAGGCAGGGTTTGGTTTCTCAGCAGCACCACTAACCCTTAAACTAACCTATTTGCTATTTCCACTCTCATCTTCTTTTCTAAGACAGCATCGCATCATAAAGCTATAATATTCAAGCCTAGAATATCAACATGCTCACTAGTTTGCAGTTTGAGAAATTGAAATGAAACAGCTAGTAAAACAGGACATGTCTACTCTACGGGCTGCTTACTCTCACTAATTCCATAATCCTGTGCCAATCAAACACGATCTGTCCATTTCGAAACTCAACTAAAAAAAGTTTGCTTACATGGTTTTGAAGTATTCGATCAATACATGCATATAAGTGATATCAGACAAAATGAAAGAGCAAATCAAAGTGCAAGATGAGGAACTGTGTACAAAGCAGGTAACATTGCCTATCTAATAGCAATAACACATAGCTCAGAACCATTTAGGCTGCCCGTTTATCTTACAAAAAAAATTAGTACAAGCATCCACAGAAGTACGGAGTTAAATAAGAAAATAAGAGCGAATCAAACTGAAACAAGCCAATCCCATTTATCAAAACAGAAAATAACCGTACCCAGAGAGTGAATTCATTCAAACAGCATCCCTTCTCACTTCAACTTGCAAGCTTCAGACGAGTAAAGTCGTAATCTTGAAGGTTTAATAATTCTTTTTCACCATTCACCAGCAACAAAGATGATATTCGGCAGTATTTCTCAAAACCAATCTACGCCGCTGAATTTCTTAACCACGAAGTTGATTCCCCTTCACCTTTATTGAAATCAAATCATATCTGCGATTGAATTCAATTCTGTACGTTATTTGAATTCAACTGATAACTTACTGCAATTTTTATATCAGAGTAAAATCTTTATTCACATGATTAAATTCAATTTAGAATACGCCTGTAAATGAATTGAATTATCAATCATCGACTAATATGACAACGTCAGAACCTACCTTTTCTAGTACTTGAGATTCATGCGATTTTGTTTGCTTACATGATCTGACTTGTAGAAACAGAACTAGTCTAGAAACTTATTGCTCTTGTAAGTGCTTAGCTTCGGTTTATTGTGTTGTGTCAATACCATGGATCAAAGACACGCAAGAAAATTTCGTTACTATCATGAAATTGCTTAAATAAACGAGGGGTTGCCTGCTTATGCTTTTTCTTCGGTTCAACCTGTTTGTGACAACTGAAACTTTTCATGGTTGGTTAAAATATAAATAGAAAACTTAATTTAAACCCTTAAATTTATTACGTTCTCATATTTGCACCTCTCAGATAGTAGAACTGCTGTTCTTCATAATGACAGGTGAGAAATTATATAGGAAAAATAGCAATTAATGATTTCTATTTCCAATTCTTCCTGGTTTTGATGCAGGTGCATCCCTAGTAAATCCAATATTCTCATTCACCAATGAATTTGGAGTAGATGGTTCTTAACAAAGCTTAAAAGACCTGAGCTCAATCCAAAGAAAACAAAGCCGAGAATGCCTGTACAGGTACAGGTTCCAGTTTTAAAATTGCTGAGCGAGCTATATATCCTCAGAAAGTTGTTCGTGTCTAGTTTCCAACGCATCAATGGTGCAGGATCTGGAGCTTTGTACCAAACGTTATAACCAATTTACTTACAAGTGCGCGCGCTGCAATAACAGGAATCCAGCAGAACCGAAATCTTTGTGTCAAATTTCACAACCTGCATGACTGCCTCCTAGTCAACAAACATTCAATGGAGCTTTGACAATCTTACTTCCAACCCACTTGCATGTCAGTAGCTTTATTTGTCAATAAAGACAGCAACCTAGGCCAAAGATTGAACACAGATGATAGATGGTTGAAAAAACGTGCCTAGATGTAGAAGAAGAAGATATGAAAAGAGAGCGGGGAAAGAAGAGACGCAAGTGAAGGCATTCTGTGATAAAAAGTAAATGGGCTTTGTGAGAAGAGGGCTGTGGATCTGAGACGGTGTCGCTTAACAGGCATTGCTGAGATAAAAAGTAAATGGGCTTGTAGCCCACACATGATGGGCTGACAAAAAGGAATGGGGGGTTCGGGTCTGGTCTTGATGTGCAATCATTAATATTTGAAGAGGACAATAACCAAATTGTCACACTTAACACGTTTAGTCTACTCCGAAATCTTAGAAAATAAGAATAATAAAGGGGTGATTATCATTTATCCATAACATTAGGAGGATAATTCTTATCCTTAATTCTTTAGGCTGCCTCGAGAGATTTGTCTCTTCTCTTCTCTCTTCGCTTCTTAATCTCATCCTCCCAAGTAATGTTGCTTCAAAGAACAAAAAAGCTCCTTCATGGATACTTATCCACCGGCCCCTAATGAGTTGAAAACTGAGTTTGTGACATATTTATCTCCTCCTATCATGGTGGCTTATCTGGTGGGGCCCCGGAAATTAAGGGCAGTGGACCATGGTGTGTCTGGCTCCCTCGATCATAAATGGTAAATGCAAAGCTTTCAGCGTGGAAATAAGGCTAGAGAAGTGGGCCTTTTCTTCCCCCAGGCCCTCAATTGCACAGAAAAAATCCTGGTTATCTGTCCTCTAGACGATGGCTAATGGATAGTGGTTATCGTCTGACTTCTGTGCTGTATCTTCTACACTCGTGGAAGATGACACCGTAACAGATGTAATGATAGTAATCTTGGTAACCATGCACTCCGGCGACCGATGTTGCTCTCTTTGTTCTCGTAATTACTTGTCCAGGTAATCCGGAGTTTCAAACAACTTGAGAGGAAATAATAATTTTGAAGCGAGATATTCATCAGGAAAAATATCCTTAGCCAAATCGATAAAAATATTCCTTCTATCTTATATAACACTCTTGTTATCAGGAAAGAATATTGGATGGAGGATTGGAAAAAGAAGGAGTGGATATGAGGAGAGGGGTCGAGAAGGAAGGATTTGATGTTTGTATAAAAAGGACAACGATATAAGAAAGTATTCTTCCTCCTTGTAATTCTTAATCATTTTCCATTTAGATGGATATCGACTCTTATCCTTTCTATTTTTTTAATAATATTGATTCGGATGAATGGACTCTCATTGTTTTTTTATTTTATTTTTAATTAGTCAAACAAGTAGATGGATCATCCATTATTTTCATCATAATCCTTGCACCTCTCGATCTATATTCCTTTCGTGCTTCTTTTTCGATAAATATAAAGCCTAGTGGTTTTTTATTTTGGAAGAGAGGAACCATAAATTTCTCATAGATTTTAGATTCAAGTTTCACTTCTATTCCGTCTATAGCCAATGCATGAAAAACAAGAACCAAGCTGTTCTGGTGAATGGTGTTCAGGGATAAAGTTTAAGAGGTCTTAATTCACTGATCATCTAGCATGAACCCACAATTATATGGAGGTCATGTCATGTGGCCAGGGTGAGCCCACCCACATGAAACCCTATCCCTCAGCCGTCTACCATTCAAAACTAATCACTCCCGGCTAAAAAATCACTGGAAGTGATAATAAAAAAGAAAGTAGTCGCTGTCTCATTTATCGATGACGGCATAATTGTCAGGAAAATGTTCTGTATAATCAAGTAGAGGGAGTTTTTCTTGACTCTTTCCTCTTGGAGACCAGATCTTGTGGCTTAGGGTGATTCGAGGGGTGTCATTGACAATCCATTAATTTATACAAATGTTTTCATTTATTTTTTGTCCCAGTTAAAGAGATAGGCATCATCTCTCCCGTATCCATCCCTCTCATAGCAGGATTTGCAAACCCTTTAATGATACCTCTTAAGCGTGCTCTAAATCTCACGTCTTATCAATACTGAAGGGAGACTTAAAGCCTATAAATTGCGTTGATCTTGTACAAACTTTTCTCTCTTGGATTCTGATAAAGCATGATCGGAGAAGATTAACCACAATTTAAAGCGTAAAAAGGACAAAACATCACATCTCCGACTTTTTCCGATTGTCTATGATCAACAGTACTGACTTTTTTCTTTTTAATTTCCCCTCGATTATCATCATTTCACAATGAAGTTATCTTTCACCCAGTAGTGGAAAGGGCTGGTGTCTACCTTGAGCAGTAATACATGAAACTCAGTTTTCATTCCTGACCATTTCACTCGACCCCATTAATAAACCACACAGTTGACTTGATAAACTTTGCAGGACTTTCCATTTAAGATCGTACGTGTCCCAAGAAAACACACACTGCTAACCATTTTTAGCAATAAAGGCGAGGGAAAAGTTGTAGTTGAATGATTTTTTTATGCAACAATTGAAGGATGGATTGGGCAAGGATTTAGGTATTGTAATGTTTAAATCACGGGGCTAGGTGCAGTTTTCCTTCAACAAATTAAAAATGAAAAGAGAGGCGACATGATTAGGAGAGGCGACTACTGCCATTTACCCAGAAAAATAAATAAGGAATCAAAGATAGCATGACGTGCCGCCGCATTAAGATGCTTCAAGGGTAGAGAAAATGGTGATTATGATGTGGACCTATAGCTAAATCAAAGTGATGAGATTCTTCTTCAATATCGATCAACCTTCAAGTAGGAGCAATGAGTTCCCGCTGGAAAAAGTTAAGCACTTTAGATGCATGGTCGGTGCAATTTGCAATCATGCAATCAATGTACTTACCAAATGAAATCTCCTCCCATGGCAAACAAAATCAGCCTCTGTTATGTCATAGCTGCCTTTTGTTTTTGTTTTTGTTTTTGTTTTTGTTTTTGTTTTTGTTTTTGTTTTTGTTTTTGTTTTTGTTTTTGTTTTTGTTTTTGTTTTCTGTTTTGTCAATCTGATCTCTAAGATCTTGTCCAGGTATTCTAAAAAGAATTCACCTGAGCAAAAAAATAGTCACGGCTATCCTAATTAAGCCGTTTATCTCAGGCATTCTCATATCGGCACCGATTTCTTCCTTGCCATGGAAGCAAAAAAAACCTAGTGATCTCCTAAAACCTATGCGCAAACAGTTGAGAGGAGGCTATGTTGTAGGCAAAGAGACCAACAACATGCCTTGTCGTGAAAATCATGCTAGGTACTACTTTGCAGGAATGAGCTGTACCTGGGGTGAGGGCAAACTGTCCTTTTTTACTGTACATCCTTAACATGAAGCCACGTGTTCGTTCAGGACGGCAGTTCCTTAATCCAGACATATTTCTTTCACAGGTGCATGCATTTACTCAATGCATAATATTTAGGCAGAGATTTCCATTGAATGTGCTCTTCAGTCGTTGCTTGCAACTCGTTGGTCAATACAGTAGAAAACCAATTTTATTGATTGCCCACAACCAACCCAGCTAAAAATTATAATTGCACACTAACCTAACGACAAAGTACTAAATCATATTATTGAACTTTTGAGTTTATATTATACAAGTAACCCTAGCTAGGGTTTTTGTTGGGACTTGGAGCAGTGCCCTGGGCCTCTCCCTTGCACAGTTGTATCCCTCAAATCTATATCTACCATCTTATCTCCCACCTCTCCCAAACCCCATCTCCCATTACCTCGTGAGACATTTTGGCATTCTAAACAGATAAACTATCATCATCATCATCACTGTAAGCCCATCAACTTCTTCATCTTTCTCAATCCTCTACATGACTAAAAAAGCCATGGACTCAACCACAAGCCCCCACCACATCACCAAATCCCCAGACTCGGACATGGATACTGAAACCCCACTCCAAACCCATCTCACCAAGGCCTTATCCCTTACAAATGGCTCACACAAGACCCACCAAAATCGCCATCTTCCACCACCACCACAGCAAAATATGGTGGTGTCTTACAAAGAATGCCACAAAAACCATGCTGCAGGTATTGGTGGACTGGCCTTGGATGGTTGTGGGGAGTTTATGCCCAAGTCAACTGCCACCCCTCAAGACGCTGCCTCCTTCAAATGTGCTGCCTGTGGCTGCCACCGCAACTTCCACCGCCGTGAACCATCTGGCCCCACCACCATCGCTCACATGCTACCACCACCAGCACTTAACTGGACCACGAGCTCAAGCCAAAGCCCAGGGTCAACAAGTTCAGGTCCAAGTCCTAGCCCAACATCACCGGCATCACCAAGCCCGCAGTCTTTCTACCCTTCTGCTCCTCACATGCTGTTGTCCTTGAGCTCTGGTCATCTCGATGATACCCAACTCCAGAAACAGAGTTACAGTCTCGCAATGACAAGCCCACATGGGAAAAAGAGAGCAAGAACCAAGTTTAGTCAAGAACAGAGAAAGAAGATGTATCTTTTTGCTGAGAAGTTGGGGTGGAGGTTGCTGAGAGGCAATAATGATAGAGGTGTTGAAGAGTTTTGCAGTGAAATCGGGGTTACTAGAAATGTTTTCAAAGTTTGGATGCATAACAATAGGTCCAGGAAAGACAAGTTGAATAATAGTTACGGTATTAATAGCAGCGACAGCTGTGGTTTTAATGTTAATGAGGAAGCTGGTAGAGTTGGTGCTGACAATAAAGGTTACAGCTTCAACAACAATGGGAGTAACTATGATAGCTTTGATAGGTACCGGATTGAGAGTAAAGTACATGTTCATGGTTCTGTGGCTCCCCATGGATCTTCTCCATCATATTGATTTAGATAAAGAAAAAAAAAGACAGACGACTAGTGGGCATGAAAGTTCTTTGCTTCTTCTTGTTCTTGTTCTTCTTTTGTTTTCTAGTTTCTTTAGCTATGTCGATGACCGTTAGCTATGTCGATGACCGTTCAGTGATTGCTAATCACTAATTGAAGGTCGTCATGGAGAGAAATAGAGTGGAGAATGCATGAGACAAGGACAGTAACTTTTCTTACAGAACTGTTATGATCTCTGTTAACCTGTCTTTAATTAGTATATTTTATTGATATTAACCATTAACATTCTGCAGCCATTTTTAACTGTTGTATCACCAAAACGTAGGCAAACGTCATTTCTCGGCAATAGCATGGCATGGGATGCTTCTTCTTTTTTTGGCATTTTATTAGAACTGGCCAGGGAACTCTCTTTACTCGCTTGATACGATTAATCCATCTGTTTTTCAAGTAAAGGGAAAGGGGAATAGAAACAAACCCCCTGCTTAAAGCTATGGTTTATCAAATTTGGATATGCAATCTGTAATGACATGTCATGTGTTATTCATTTTGTGGAGCAGCTCTGATCAAGCAGAATAAATATATAGGATGCATCCTTTCTCTTAGAAGGGTTAATGGCTCTGCTGGGGTAGTTGGAGAGGGTGATTTAGTATTTGGATTCTGATCGCAAATCAAACAATGAATCCAGCTCCGAACTTGGTGACATGCATCTATTATTATATGTTATCTTGTTATCCCAGACTTTTTGACGCAAGCAGCATGCTTTTGATTTGCTTAATCTGTGTTAGGCGACAGGAGCAGTGGTCTCAACAAGCATTTCAACCTTTCCCTGTTCAGTAGGGTCGTTAATTAAGCGGCAAGCTTTGTTTTCTTTTGCTCCTAATTTAAAAATAATTAAGCAAAACTTGCATTTAGTTGCACTTTAAAACTGTTTTTGGTTTTAAATGTTTTTTAAATTTTAAATTAATATTTTCATTTATAAAAAATTACTTGTAAAAAATAAAATATTATTTTAATATATTTTTAAATAAAAAATATTTTAAAAAACAATCATAAACAATATCTTAAAAAAAAAACAATTACTAAATATTATACTACCTATAGCTGCTTCTATGCCTAGAAAGCCTGCCACATGTAGCAGATTTTTCATCTTCTTTCCTCTACGTGGCCCGCTATTGAACGACCCTGATTAATAGAAAATTCGTGTCCCAAACATCCACAAATCACGTCACCTAATGGAGGATCGGGTTCCGGTGCAAGTGGCTTTCTTAGTGACCTCCGATCCTTCATATTTTCTAATCCATCTGCAAAATTTAAATCCACATCCCGTTGTTCCTAAAGCTATACAGATGAAAATTGCCAGTGTTTCGGGTCAGTCCAGGCAGAACAAAGTTGTCGTCCTCAGGCCTCAAGATAATAGGATGGGTGTCATGTGTTGACCCAAACATGACCATGAATGTGGCTTAAGCTTTGCCAAACCTGTTAATTTGATGTAATTTCTGGTGAAAATAAGCGTCGACAGTGAGAGTCTTGCTATTGAATCCCACGGATCAGTGTTAAGAAACTAAGAATTACTACATAGCTAAAAACAGACCCAAGAATGCAACCCGAAGAAATCGCCTCTAAAAATGAGGTGACAGAATAGGCATAAACATGGTCGCCATATCCACCTTACTCATTCGCTTTGACATGGATTCATAAACAATCGTTGATGATCAATATTCCCAGGATTTACAAGGCAGGACCTGTCAAAATTCAAAACAGAAACTACTCTCTTTTCAGGAAAAAAACAGCTCTAGATGCAGCCCTTGATGTGTTTTTGAAAAAAGGTATCAGAAGAACTAATTATACGATGGAGATCAAATAAAAACATTTCACAAATGCAACTGCGAAAGTCCAATTGCATCGTCATCATCAGAATGATCTGGCACGTCTCTACAATACTCACAGGTAAAACTAGGAGGTGTCAAGTGCAAACAGTAGTCGATTCTTTTTTCCATCCAGGCCACTCTTCTCTCAAAATTCATTACCCCGATATGCATTATCCGGGTATCAACCTGAGCAGCTCTAGCAAAACTACGAAGCAAAATATAATAATCTGCATGGGCAACATAAGTTAACGCACCATCACCTAACCTCCGTACATAGTGGAGGTAATCAAATCTCTTGATTTTGAGCCTTGGTGGAATGTAAAAGAACCTATTCTCTGCCATGTCTAATTTCAACTTTCTAATGGCTTTATCTTTGACAGTCTCCGTTGAATCATCATTGTTTTCATCTCCTGTTGAATTGCAGGTATCAGTGGATAGGTATTCATGGGTCTCTTCGATAATTTTCTTTTTTCCCATCTGATCTCTGGCAAATCCATTGTCATTCCTCAATCTTTTTCCATTGAAAACAGTCCTATTTTGTGCTCCATCATCTTCTGCCGGATCAGAGCACTGATAACAGAAAAAATTAACAAGTCAGCACAAATACTAGCTCTTTGGCACTTACTACCTTGACATGCAGCATTCACATCTACCATCCAGAAAAAAAGAGCCAGAAAAAGAAACTGCCAACCTAGATTCCAAATTATAAGAGCATAGAATAAAAATATTCAGCATACAGGGCATGACTGTGAACCGATCTGAAGATACCACCAGGAAAGATTTTACTCTTATATGCAGTCAATCAGACATACAGTACACCAAATTTAATATTTTACGTTTTTTTCTTAGCAAGAATGATTCTTTACTCAGAGAAGTGAGGTCCAAAAAGCAATGTTCACTTTGAATACCATGAAGATATAATTATAGCAAATTAACAACAATGATAAGAACTCAGACCTGGGGTTACATTTTGAAGTCGAAAATCCAAAGAATAAAAGGATGTCGGAAGTCTATTTCAATTTTCAACTTGGGAAAAAAAAATACTGAAAAAAAATGAACAATTGGTATCTAGCACATTAGAAGGGAATCTAATGATGTGAGCCCGAGTTTGATGAGATCCAGGTTACAATCAACAAACACCAGCATGGCACAAAATCCTTAGCATATGCCTAAAAATAGATCATAGGAAACTTTCAGATTGCTTATTACCTTTTCACTCTGATAAAAATCCCACAACTTCTTTATTAACTCATCCTCCCGATGATTCACATGCGAAGATCCTGCTCCACAAAATACCACCTCATTACAGTATTGGAGATATGATGGCAAGTCCCTTGTGAACTCTACAAGCACAAGAAAGAATACATAAGTGGGGCAGAATACCACAGACACAAAACCCTTCTACAACATGGAATCCTTCAGTTCCAGTAACCCAATGCCAATTGAAGTCCAAAACAAGAGACAAATAATTACCATAGGCATCACTGATCTCATTGTATTTAGCATCTAAGTTGCGCAAAAGCTCTGCAGAATCTAACTCCGACCTCTGAACATGCGATCTGTTACCAATAGGCTTCTCATCTGAATCATCCAGCTTGCAAGGAGAACCGGAATCTTTTTCATCAACTTGCATTTGAGAGCCACAAGGAAAGTCTAATCTGCTTGTATAACCAGGCAAACTTCCTTCCCATGCCCCAAAACCATTTATGTTGTAGATAATTCTTATTGCTACAATCAGTATTGACAATACACAAACACGGCTAGGAAGCCTCAGCTCATTTGTTGAAAACCACAGATCTGGGGGCATTGACCACTCATATATGCGGCACGCATGTGGAAGAATCTTTTCAACTGGAAGAGACAAATGCCTAAGATAGCGAGAAGCTATTCCGTAGAAATACACTGGAGGCAAATGCAAGCCTATGGACTCAGCAATGCTGGCTGCCATTGACTCTAACTTCTGAATAGGAACTGCTTGCATAGGCCTGAACATTAGACTTGAACTTATACAACAGGCAGGCGACGAATGTCCAAAGTGTTTTTCAATTTCAACATGAGCATCAAAATAAGGAAGTTTCCCTTCGACCGACCACTTCACTATATCTGTGGGTAAAACTGCTTCTCTAGCAACATGACAAGCCAAAAACGAGATCGCTAAAGAATAATGCAATGGTATTTGCTTTCTCAGATACCTAAACCATATTAGCACTGCACGCTGACCAAATGAATTACGAGGTTCATGACGGTGGTACCTAACACGTCTCTTCTTATCTTCTGGTTCCACTGAGATCACAGATTACAAAAATTACATATATAAACTCGAAAAATGTTCGTGCAATAAAAAAATGTAATCATTCTTACACGCTAAAACTAAAACTAGTGAAGCATCCAATAAGACCATAAGCATACATAGATGTAAACCATATCGATATCCACTTGAAACCAGCAAAAAAATTGAAAATTTCAACGAAAAATTTCAAGACAACAGAGGAGTAAACAACAAAAAGTTAATGCGATAATTATTACCTGACAATTCGGTGGTTTCTGGTTTTTGCATCTCGGAATCAATCAAAACATCATTAGCCCAACTATCCTTAAAAACCCCAGTAGTAAGCAAAAACCTTAACCAAACAGTGCTAGCAACCCCAACAATTAATGGAGTCACGTTAAACTTTTCAACTAAAGCCTCACACTGTAACCGAATCATTAACCCCATCCCTAAAACATATTTAATCCTAACCTCATTATAATAATCCTCGTAACTCAGCTTCGCTTTACTCAAGCCCCCAAAATCCTCAGGCTCTGTAGGCCCAAACACCCCATCATAGCTATCATTATAATCATAACCATAATCATCTTCTCTCTTAATATAATTCTGACTAAGATTGTTGTTGTCGGGTTCTGCTTCTTCTTGGGTAAAGCTGAGCCAAGCGATGGAGGAGGGGTCGGCGGTGGGTTGGGTGGAGTGGGTGGTTTGGGAGCGGCGGATGTGGCGGTGGCTGTAGAGGGCGGCGGAGTCAAGGCCTTTTTCAACAAAGTCTTCGTCGGCGACACCGGTTTCCATGATGCCTTGAGCTTGAGCACCGCATTGCTGGCAGTAATAGAAGCCATCGGATTCTTCAAGACCTATGTAACCGCATGATTCGCATTGAAAGTTTCTCACCTCTCCTTCTTCTCGCTCCATTTACGATTATAGAAATTTTTGGAGTTGAACTTGTTCAGGTGCTGCTGCTGCTCACACAAGATTGCCTTTCTTGTATCATTGAAAACTAAAGCGGAGAGAGAGAATTTACTGGAGTTGTATATTAACGAACAGCTAGCTAACTAAGAGCACTGGATTGGAAGAGTAGGTTAAATTACAGAAAAAGACTCTCTCTAGGTTTGAAATAATTCCACTATCATCCTTCAGAACTTTCAATTTTGTCAATAGGGGCGCCGATATGTCTTTTTATCGTGGTTTTTTTTTTAGTGTTTATCGAATTTAATTATTTATCCACTTCAACGCATAGCAATCAAATGGGTGTGAATGATTTTACTGCAATTTTTTTATTATATCTAATTAGTAATATAATTCCCCTATCTCAATACTATAAATTAGCCTCGTTAAAATAATTCAAAAGACTGGATATCGTTTTCTAAATTAAATTTCTATTTTTTTTTAGTTGGGTATTACTCTCTTTTTTCCTCTATTGATCAAAACCCAGACAAAAAAAAAAAAATTATCAAGTTTAAACAGTTCCAATTATTTAGGGTTGGATTGGAAAAGTGGCGCGATATAGTTAAAAAGTATGCACCATAATTTGACATAGATTCTACTTTTTTTTTAAAAAAAAAAAACATCTTAGAAACCTAAAAAAAAAATTGAATAGCACCCAAGTTGCATGCATATCTCGAAGATGATATGATTTCAAAGCATACACTCGATGCAAAATTTATTAACTGGCCATTGCCAATACCGTGTTGAAAACTCTATATAATATAAAGAATACAGCAAGTATTATTAATCCAATGTTGTTGTGAAATTTATTAGCTCAAACTAACTAAAAAATACCCTTAAATGTTTAAAAAAAAAACTTGTGAAGCTTCCAAGCTCTTTCCCTTAAATGTTTTTTTTTTTAAAAAAAAACTTGTGAAGCTTCCAAGCTCTAACAATTTCCGAGCTGCTATTACATCGAATCTCTCTTTTATCTTGAACAATAACCTTTTCAACTTGATACTGCATTTGAATCTCATATTGATTAAATGCTGTTACTTTTCCGAGACAAGATTAAAAACAGGTCCTTTAGCATTAGATTTTTGGACAAGGAAAATCACCCAAAAAATACAGGATAATGGCCAAGCGCGCAGTTTTTGGATACAACCAATGTTGGGACCGTACAGGGAAGTCCCTTCACAGAAAGGCAAACAACAATTTATACATAAATAGAGCCCCAAAAACTTGTCTTGCTTGAAGATTCTAGAAATACTGACAAAGCCCTGCTCCAAAATCAATATCAGTAACTGGTCCATCGATTCAAAGTTGCCATTCAATTGGGGAAATTCCCATTTGCGCCAAGAGCTGATTTGTGCGAGAAAAATGCCTGATCACATCATTTGCAAGCAATCGTTAACAGTCCTGTCATTTTATTGAATTCATCGAAAGGGAACAAGGTTTCCTTTTCCTCCTAATGAATTTGAATTTCCTTCATGTATTGGATCCATGAGTTCTGTAAATTTTTTTAATGACATCAAATTTTAACATAACCAATAATGTGACCTCGCACAAGTAAACAATTCAAGATACTTGATGATTCCGTAATTAAATAAAACAGAGGAAAGGACATATTCTTCCTTGTGAATTATCTTATCAGTGTGAGTTAAAAAATAGGGATGAAATTGTTGGATCCCAACAAAACTATTTTGAACTGCCTAAAGCGTTCCCAGTCCCTTAAAAAGTCCTATTGTTTGTCAGAATTGTTATCTAGTTGCATTCGATACCAATTTGCATGAACTTGGGGTTCAAGGGACAAATGATTCTCACTATTCAGCCCCAAGTGACGAAACTTAACTTCCTTAACTGCCTCTCACTCCCTTTGCCTTCTGATCATGCCTAACACCCATCACAACTCATCAGCTCTAAATCTGAGAACTCTAAAACAGCAACTAATAAATTATATGGATGAAAATGACAAATTACTTGTAGTGATTTTCTTTTCATTTTAAGTATATAAAATTGCATTACAATTACTATGCATGAAAACAAACTAACCTGCAGCCAAAGAAGCCTCTGTTTGCAGACAAGCCAGAAGGATGTGCAGCCTTCAGAATGTGATGCTTTGTCAGGTCAATTAACCTGGGAAACAACCTTTTTATAAGCATCTGACTGGATATTCAAGCTACTAAATTCCTCCAAATTCATCACACAAACTGAATCATTTTAAGTCATAAAAATGTTAATGAAATCATCCATAAAAAGCAAACATTCCTCTCAATTCATTCATCAAACAAAACTTGAGTCATTTTGGTTCATAAAACCGTTTATGAGAATATTACAACTTAAGGAAAAATTACTCTCTCAAACCTGTCATCTTATATAAAATGTTCAGTCCTTGCATTTGAAACTATTGTATCTTCAACAATGACCATAATCCTTACAGTTGAAACTATTGTATCTTCAACAATGACCAAGTTTGTACCAGAATAAGCATAAATAAATATAAGGCAAAATGCAGGATAAATGATCAGGATTGTACATTGAGGACTTCTATTTGGGACAGCTGAAATTAAGGGAAAGAGTATGGTCAATTAGAGTTGGAACTTGAGTTGTAAATTGATGAGCATAAAGATGATAAAAATTCAAGGATAACGAGCTAGGGCATCGCAGCTTCGGAAAACCACAATAGGCTATCAAAGTTGTTTGTTTTATCTCTACTAAAGATTGCAGGTTAGATGCTTTATATACAGACCATCAGTGTTCCTAGTCTAAAAGGACGAGGAAATCTAAACAGGAAAGACAAGCTTATATTAAAACAAATGCTAGTAGTAGGATAAAGTTGATTATAATTAAGATATCCAGAGAGTAGCCATTTCTTGTGTGCAACAAATCCTGAACTTACAGAAACACCTTTAATGCTTAAATCTCAGAACATCCAAAAGATAACATAAGAATCTGAATTAACATGAGAAATAAGATTCAAAAAATGAGTAAGGGGGCTTTTAAGTCTCAATATTTCTTTTTTGTAAAAAAGGTGCATGTGCCAGGCCTTTTGAAAGGCAGGAGTTGGGGCAGTTCCACAGAAGAAGCCCAGTCAGCTAGCAAGTTAGGCTCTACATTAAACCAAGACCATAATTCTACATTCCTTTGATATTCAATCTTGCTTTTCCTTCGGTGCATGTGCCAGGCCTTTTGGAAGGCAGGAGTTGGGACAGTTCCACAGAAGAAGCCCGGTCAGCTAGCAAGTTAGGCTCTACATTGAACCAAGACCATAATTCTACGTTCCTTTGATATTCAATCTTGCTTTTCCTTGAATTTATAGTTCTCCATGTCAAGGCAGATGACATTACACAGAATGTCAACTCATTTAGAATGCCAAAATGTGTGCATAGTTACGCTGCATTCAGGTTTTCAGCAAGGTGACCCAGCAAACAGAAGTGTTTACCATTTGGTGAACACATATCCCACCTTATGCATGCTTCAGAGCCAATTGATTAAACTACAGTATACCTGTTAGGGAATTCAACACCCAAATGCACTCTAGTCTCTTTTAAACTATATTATTAGGCCAAAATTGTTGGAGTGAATCAACTAAATACTCAATCCATTGACTAGAGTGTGTGCGCGCGAGCGCAAGTGTGTGTGAGAGAGAGATACAAGGGAGGGAGGCAGGGAGGGAGACTTTTGTTAATACAGCAGATATCTTATTCATTTGCTGCACTGAACTAAGCTTGCATGATAGACATACTTGGATTTCTCCTGAGCTGAGTTACCCCAAAGAAGAAAAACAACTCCTTCCTTCTTCTGTGAAATTGTTTTGATAACAGCGTCAGTGAAATGCTCCCATCCTTTCCTTGAATGAGAATTCGCTTGGTGATTCCTAACTGAACAGAAACAAAAGATAACCAGAACCTTTCATGTTGAACATTTTCAGATACGAAATGTTAGACCCTGAAGTGCCAAAATGTCTATAACAAAAATATTGTGCTTCACTAAATATAGCTCTACCAACTGCCTCATCAAATTCACATGCCAACATGGAAAACGTGTCACAATTGTCATGATTCATAATTCTTCCACTATACACAAAAAGCATGCCATGATATTCAAAACTTATACAACAACTCCATCATTATAGATTGCATTGATTATGGGAGCTTTTCCACCCACTGGCTGAATTTATCCCAAGTTTCCCTGAAATAAACTGGCATCAAGCAAATACAAGTTATTTGTGAAATAAATTGGCATGATGAAGAATCTTACCAGTGAGAACTGTGTTGAGCAATAGAACACCCTGAAACAAAACAAAAAAAAAAAATCCAACCTAACATTTTGCATGGAAAAAAAAATATTGTAACAATGGAACAAATCTTTCACTCCAAATTTTTCTTTCCAACCTAACATTTTGCATAGAAAAAAAAATATTGTAACAACGGAACAAATCTTTCACTCCAAATTTTTCTTTTATTACTAACTTTATTTCTCAACAGATTGTACTTCAAATTCGTCTATTTAATGTGATAAGAACCCAGATCAATCAAAACCCCTGTTCAGATCTAAAATTAAGTTGATAATAAGTAGCACGTCTAAACAAAGAATAAAACAGCAAATAACATATGATTGCTAGGGAGAATTTTTACCTGAATAGCCCATTTTTCAAGATTCCCATGAGACGGAATGGAACACCCCAGATCCTGCTTAAGTTCCTTGAAAATATTAACAAGACTAGAAGGTGCCTTGACCCCTTGAGGCACAGAAAAAGACAGCCCCATAGCCTGACCAGGGCCATGATAAGGATCCTGTCCAATGATTACAGCCTTGAGCGTATTAAACGGTGTCGAATTCAAGGCATTGAAAATCAAATGCTGCGGTGGGTATATAGCTACACTCCCGTTACTAATCTCACTTTCCACAAATTTACTTAGATTCTTAAAATAAGGCTTTTCTAACTCCTGTGGTAGCACCTCTCGCCACGTGTCCTCCACCAACAGTTCCTCTAAATTCACATGCCCGGAGGAACCTGTATTGAGATGAAACAAACAAATCAAAACCGTAGAAAAAATAAAAATGGAAAGTAAAATTGAAATCGATTTGGGTGAAGATGGTGTTGCCTTTGGAATTGGAGACTAATTGAGAACATAGTTTGAGGTTGCGTTTGGATTTGGCGCGTAGTTTGTTGAATTCGATGCGGGATACTTGGTCAGGAGTGAGGTCGGTGGAGGTTGATTTTGCAGAGAGTGATTTGTTTAAGAGATTTAAGGGGTCTGTTGGGGAAGGAGTGGAGGAAGAGAGTTTAAGGCGCTTGGCGGGTTGGAGGAAATCCATTATTGTTTTGGAAGAGGCAGCCATCGCTTGTTCCGCTTCGCTCTGCTACTGTGTTTTGGCGGGAGGGCGGGTCGCGAATGATAGATTAGACGACGGTTTTGTCTTTAAGGGAAAAGCCACGAAAGGAATGCCATTGCTTTTTGCGGTCTCATTGTTTTGACGGTTGTGATTTTTCGATTCCTCTGTTGTATTACTCTCGAGACCTTTTTATATAGGTATTTTTGTAAAAACTTTTTTTCATTAAAAATATTATAATATTATTTTATTTTATTTTTATTACTATCACTAATTAAGACCTCTGCTCAAGGCTCAGGTTTTACTAAATTATTAGGTTAATTTTTTTAAAAAATTAAAATAATATAATTTTAATAAAAAATAAAAAAATAAAAATCAATAGATTTGCAATTAGATTTTATTGGATTACATTAGGATTTTTTTTTTATTTTTTTAACTCAGTTCAATTTTAATTTTAAACTGATCAGGATTAACCCACACTAACTGAGCAAGATTTTAAAATTATAATTAAAATATTTAATTTTTTAATAAAATATAATTTAAAAATCAAAAATTTAAAGTTTTATGTTAAGAGAGCCTCATAATGAATGATAAACTCCATTATTACAACACTTCACTAAACAACATAACTTAATTTATTTTATTTTATTTTTATATTTTAAAAGTTTTTTAAAAAATAAAAGTTATTTTATTTTTATATTTTAAATTAATTTTTTTTATATATTTATATTATTTTGATAAGCTAATATCAAAATTAATTTTTAAAAATAAAAAAATATTAATTTAATATATTTTTTAGTAAAAAATACTTTAAAAAAATAACAAATATACTTTTAAACATACTTTAACATTTAAGTATACAACAAACAAACCAAATTTATTGGTAATTACATCGATGCTTTTCATTTGATATTCATGTGTGTTGTTAAAATATAATTGTTTTTATCTTAAACATGTATTTGATATTTAAAAAAATAGAAAATTACCATCAACATTATGTGATTTGTTTTTTTATTTACCCACTATAATTTAACAAAATTAAAATCTAACTATTCTCATACATAATATATTATAAACCCAAGCAAAGAGTTTGAGATTCTTGCATTAGACAATTTCCATGATCTTGTTTTTTGTTTGGAAAAAAATAGTTTATTTTTATTTTTATACCATCTATCTTATTTTTGACGCCAATAAATAAAGTGATTTCTGTAAGTTTTTTGACATAGAAAAAATTCATTTTCAAATCAGTATTGACTCGTAATTCACTCGCTGAACTAAAACTATTATCATGATCACTATGTAGAAGAAATAGCCGAGTAGCTCAAGACTTCAATTTAACATTGGAACTGCCATATACATTTTTGTTTATCAAGGATTCAAATCCCTCTCTTTAATTTATCAATATTACAAAATGCTGAGATTAAAATTCTCTCTTCAATGCACAATTTATCTCTATGATCCTGATTGAAACTAAAATTTATTGTTTTTAATTAATTTTCTTCTTCTCACGTTTGCTGGAATCTCTCCTCTCTTTTTTTCTACTTTAGAAAGCCTCAGATCGATAAGAACTCTAATTTTTTATTTATTCAGTTATTTTAACCCACCTATGATCTTTTCCTTCAAATCCTCCACGCTCTCTAGGCATGGACATCGTAGACACGACGGCAGCCGGTGGTTTGCGCGCAAGCAATTTGGTGGAAGCGATTTGGTGATGATGATGGTGAGCTCAGTTGAAAGAAAATGGAGGAGAAGTGGAATTTACCCAGATCTGAACTGGGATGGAAACACTCGATTGATGTGACCATGCCAAGTTTCTAACATATCCTTGGAAGCTTATGACCTGTTTCTTTGCAATTTTATGGGATTAGAGATAAGAAAAAGGCAGCAGATTGCATATGTCCACTCTGCAAAGATCTCTTTAGAGCATGAAAATGCCACGCAACAATCACCAGCTAAAGACAGACTGGTGCATGGTGAGAAAAACCTGCAGTAGCGTGAGGTGCGGAATGAAAATGAGAAGTCGAAAGTTCTCCTTGGAGAGTGAATGGGTAACACGTTTGGCTTTCTCAAGGTTGTCAGCTTCCAGCTATGGGGGGACTTTTTCTAAACGAGGTGGCATATACTAGCTGCTAAGCCAGGGGGTTATTGCTAGCTTTCTTGAACATCTCCAGAAAAAAATGGGTAACCTGTATCTCCTTGCTGGATTTTGCAGAAATTTGGATTGAAATTAAACATGATCTTGATTCCAGCGTTTTAACATTAGCTTTGATTTAAATGAATTTTTATTGGTTGGATATTATTAGAGAATAATATAAATTATAAATATTAAAAATTTAATATAATTATAAATTTGAATTTCATCATATCTATTTATATAATAAAAATCGGAGAGTGAATGGGTAACACGCTTGGCTTTCTTAAGGTTGTCAGCTTCCAGCAATGGGGGGGCTTTTGCAAAACGAGGTGGCATTTACTAGCTGCTAAGCCAGGGGGTTATTGCTAGCTTTCTTGAACATCTCCAGAAAAAAA